CCAGGCATGGTGGTGTGCGCCTGGAGTCCCACCTACTTGAGAGGCTGAGGTAAGAGGATCATTTGAACCTGGGAGGCAGAGGTTGTAGTGAGCCGAGATCCTACTACTGCATTCCAGCCTGGGTGACAAAGCGAGACTCCATCTAAATAATAAAATAAAATAAAGCCTTGGTTAGATTCAGGTGTAACCTTCTGTGGGCTATTTTTTCTGCAGGCATATTTTTAACATTCAATGGACTATTATTTGCTAATTTTTCCTTTAAAAAATAGCATCCTGTCATATTTTGTGTTTGATATTATCATTAAAAAATGTTTTTCTTTAATTAAAAAAATTTTTTTTTAGAGAAAGTGTCTCTGTTGCCCAGGCTGGAGTGCAGTGACTCCATCCATCATAGTTCACTGTAAGCTTGAACTTCTGGATTCAAGCAATCCTCCCTCCTCAGCCTCCTGAGTTGCTAGGACCACAGGTATACATCACCATACCCCACTAATTTTTATTTTTTAGAGATGGTGGGGGTCTCACTGTGTTGCCCAGGCTGGTCTCAAACTCCTGGGCTCAAGTGATCCTCCCACCTCAGTCTCCCAAAGTAGTGGGATTACAGGTGTAAGCCACTGTACCCGGCCTCATTATTGATTCTCTGAAGTTTTCTCAAATGTTGTGATATCCCCCAATTTCAGTAAAAGGCACAAATAAGGGTTATTGGAAACCTTGTGTGTATGTTGGTTGGGTGGGTTGTTGTAGACTAGTAGGCCTCACCATAGAGAAATCTGCTGTGATTAGTGAACTATTGGGTACTCTCTGCTTATGTTTAGTATTTACAGTACTTTTCTCTGTAGCAGTGAGTTTCTCCAGAGAAGAATCCCATAGTATCCTATCTAGGGGGTGTAAGTCTAGCAGCTAACATCCTGGAATTGGGCAGAGAAAAATTGCTGTTTATTTGCAGAGCAAGAGGTTGTTCCGTTCTAGTCTTAGCTCTTCTGGTAAACGGCTGTTTCCTTGAGCAGGCAGCTTCAGTTCTCTAGGCTTTAAATTTTCTCATGTGTAAAATGAGAGGGCTACAGGTGCTCATGTCTGAGATCCCTTCACAGGGACACACTAGGCTTAGCTTAAAGTGAGCTTCTCTCCCTGGGAGGGCGGCAGGTAAGTTCAATGAAAAGAAGTCTCCAAAGGCCTAGTCTCAAGGTCTAGTCTCCAAAGTCCTAGTCTCAAAGTCAGCAAGGTTGTTTCAGAACCTAACGCCCTTACAAGCTGCTTCCACTAGGTGGCTTTGGGACATTTGGCAAATCACTTTCCTTTGTATGGTTTTCATCAAGTTAGATTATCTTTTAGGGTCCCTTCCTGCTGCTGCCTTTTTTTTTTTTTACCCTCAGAGACAGAGTTTCCTCTGTTTCCCAAGCTGGAGTGCAGTGGCATAATCATAGCTCACTGTAACCTTGAACATCTGGGTTGAAGCAATCCTCCCACCTCAGCCTCCCAAGTAGCTGGGACTACAGGTGCATGCCACCACACTTGGCTAATTTTTTTTTTTTTTTTTTTTTAGAGATGGGGTCTTGCTATGTTGCCCAGGTTGGTCTTGAACTCCTGGTCTAAAGAGAGCCTCTCACCTTGGCCTTTCAAAGTCTCCAAAGTGCTGGGATTACAGGTGTGAGCCACTGCACCTGGCCCCCATCCTGCATTAAAAAATATATATATATTCTATGATTCAAGCCATCTGACTCTTTGCTGGTGTTTGTCTGATATGAACTATCTAGTTAAAAAAAAAAAAAAAGCCCTTATAATCCTGTGTTCTAAGGAGACTTAGGCTTCCTCACATGCAGTAGCCAACACTGTATTATCTCTGCTGTACAATAAGTGCTAGTTATTAAGACTGTGAATGAAACAAAAAGACCTGAAATTAACCTTGTGATCTTGATCTGTGAATGCTTAGTCTTTTTTTTCTTCAAAGAATTCTGCTTTTGGAAAAGTCTTTTAAGAAAACTCATGTTTTTAGAAATGTGTCTATGGGCCTTTCTTTCTTAGATAATTTCTCTCTCTAAGGTAATAGGGTTCCTGTGATAGGTAATAAAGGTTCCTGTGCTTCAGTAGTAATTTATAGGTTGCAGTTGCTCCATGTCCAAGTTGGAATCTTCTGTTATACTTGGGTTCTTTGGTCTGGGCTGTTTTAGGAACATGTTCTAGGAAATCAATCAGTATTGAGTCTCCTCCTTCATCTGGGTCTTCTCATTGTAAAGCTGATAATCATCTAACAAAGTTGCCTTCATAGGGGAAAAAAGGTCTTTCTAGCCAAGATTGGTTAAGCAAGCTGGTTAACAGTGGGTCAAGTAGGCTGGGCGTGGTGGCTTATGCCTGTAATCCCAGCACTTTGGGAGGCCGAGGTGGGCGGATCACCCGAGATCAGGAGTTTGAGACTATCCTGGCCAACATTTTGAAACCCTATCTCTACTAAAAATATAAAAATTAGCCGGGCATGGGGGCGTGTGCCTGTAATCCCAGCTACAGGGAGGCGGAGGCAGGAGAATCACTGAACTTGGGAGACAGAGGTTGCGGTGAGCCGAGATTGCACCACCGCACTACAGCCTGGGCAACAGAGTGAGACTCTGTCTCTTTTCAGAAAAAAAAAAAAAAAGGTCAAGTTGTTATAAATACTGCCTAAGACTACCTACATCCATTTTTTACTATCGTTTACATAGCAGCTATTAAATATGTTATAAAAGTTGAGAGAAATAGCCATGTAAAACTTCTTAAGGTGAGGTCCTTTTTTCCCCCCCCCCTTTTTTCTGGAGACAGGGTCTCACTCTGTTGCTCAGGCTCGAGTGCAGTGGCACAATCATAGTTCACTGCAGCCTCAAACTCCTGGGCTTAAGCAATTCTCCCTTCTCAGCTTCCAGAGTAGCTGCAACTATAGGCTTATGCCACGCAGCCTGGTTAATTTTTTTGTAAAGATGGAGTCTGTGTTCCTCAGGGCAGTCTTCCCGGCCTCAAGCAATCCTCCTGCCTAGGCCTCCTAAAGAGGTCTTACAAAATAATGAACTCCAATATCTGATTTCCCTAATTTCCTTCAAATTTTAGGGTCTTAAGGTATAAGTTATACATAATGCCAACCTATTGCATTTCACACAGTGAGAATTTATCTTTAAACATTGTTGGACTAGGATACCCCATTCTCCATGATGTGCTTATTTCACATCGCATGCCTGTATCAAAACATCCCATGCACCCCATAAATATGTAACTATGTACCCACAAACATTTAAAAAATAAAATGCTGTTGGAGTATTTTTAAGGTTCTTTTAATCTTTAAGTTTCTTTTCCTGAAGAGAATTCCCATCAGTAACAGATTTTTACCTCTTTAAAGCATTTCTACATGTGTATATTCTAACATACACAATTGTATAGAAAGAGTAAAATGAACCATTGCCTATATTCAATATTTATCATGTGCAGTCCTGATTTTTCATTTTTTCAATTTTTATTTTTTAAGGGACAGACTCTATGTCGCCCAGCTTGGTCTCGAACTCTAGACCGCAAGCGATCCTCTCACCTCAGCCTCCCAAGTAGCTGGAATTACTGGTGTGAGCCATTGTCGCCTGGCTGCAATCTTGTTTTTGTACTTAATCCACATCCCCGTCCCCTACCCAGAATATTTTGAGGCTAATACCATACATATTTTATCCTACAAATATATACATCTCTCAAAGAAAATAACTTATTTTCCATTCTTCATATATCTATCCTATAAATAATGTTCTTGGGGGAAAAGTTTTCACATATAATTTTTAGCGTTACCAATTTGAGCATTAATATTTTCTTCCTACTAGGGACTGGTTTGGCTGAAAGACAAAGAAGCAACACATTGTAAACTTTGTGAAAAGGAATTCTCACTCTCTAAGAGAAAGGTAAGGGAGGTAGGAAGTGAGTCCCAAAATTTGGGGTGCAAAAATGCTTATTAAAGTTTTTTTTTTTCCCCCTCTGATTTATTTAATAGCACCACTGTAGAAACTGTGGGGAAATTTTCTGTAATGCCTGCTCTGACAACGAACTACCTTTGCCTTCTTCACCAAAACCAGTACGGGTTTGTGATTCCTGTCATGCATTGCTGATTCAGAGATGTTCATCTAACTTGCCCTGAGACTCCAGAACTAAATCCTTATGTATGAAATTACCTACAATGAATGTTATGATGTTGTATACAAAGGTAACCAGACAGCTCTTCTTAAGCGGCTTTCGGTCAGTATTTGGTAACAGTTTATCTTCTACATATTCAGATCATGGAAATTACAAGTTATATGATATTTCCTTCCCCATTGTTATTCAAAATGAATTTTCAACACAGCATGCTTAAAAATCATGTAACTCATTAAAAGGCCAGATAGCAGAGTTAACACAACTTGCCTTATCTTGTAAAGGCCTTTTTAAAAATAAGGCTTCAGATTGTTTTTTTCTTCTGAATTGTCAATTTGGTGGTGCCTGCAGTTCTCTTAATGCACTTTAAAGCTTCACAGTTCTGAGACTGGAAATGCATAAAACTTTTTAGAAGTATTAATATTCTAATTCAACAGATTTTCATTATCTTTATAAGATTTCAACTGTATTTATTTGCCCTTTCTTCTCCCCCTCTCCCATTGCTTCTTTTGCATTAGACAGGGCCGATATTTTGTCCTACAGAATTTCCTCTTGGTCTTTTTAAAAATCAGTTATTGTGCTTGCTGCTGATTTTCAGCTACAGTGGATTAAATTAAAAGAGGCATTATTTGGCCTCGGCCTCAACTTTTTTCCTTCTAATCTTGAAAGGAAGTTACATATAACCATCTTTCTTGTTTTTTTTTTTTTTTTTAGACGGAGTCTCTGTTGCCCAGGCTAGAGTGAAGTGGCGAGATCTTGGCTCACTGCAACCTCTACCTCCTGGGTTCAAGTGATTGTCCTGCCTCAGTCTCCTGAGTAGCTGGGATTACAGGCACACACCACCACGCCCGGCTGATTTTTTATTTTTTATTTTTAGTAGAGATGGGGTTTCACCATGTTGGCCAGGCTGATGTTGAACTCTTGACCTCAAGTGATCCGCCCGCCTCAGCCACCCACATATAACCATCTTTCTTTCCCTGATTTATAGATCTTCCCATATGCTGTTTCACTAAATTGCTATTTTTTAAGGGGTGACTCAGACCCCAATTCAAAGATGAGAACACAAATCCCTCCTCAGAAAAAAAAGTATGTAATAATAGGAGATATTACAGGCTCCTTATAAAGATCCTCTCCTCTAAGCATTAAAAGTGAGAAAAAAAATCAGAACTTTGTTTTGGTAATGTATTAGAGTTCGGTTCAAAAAATTTTGTTATTAACATTTTCATTGGAGTAAATTTTAGGAAGCATCACATTGTAGTGGCCTACCTGTATACATCCACAGTAAAATTTCACCATGTCCATTGAGCACCTCTATGCGAAGGGCATTGAGATGATGAAATATACGTACTTGAGCTATTTCTTTTTTTTTTTCGAGATGGAGTTTCACTCTTGTTGTGTAGGTTGGAGTGCGATGGCACGATCTCCACCTCCCGGATTCAAGCAGTTCTCCTGCCTCAGCCTCCCAAGTAGCTGGGATTAGACATGTGCCACCATACCCAGCTAATTTTGTATTTTTGGTAGAAAAAGGGTTTCACCATGTTGGCCAGGCTGGTCTCGAACTCCTGACCTCAGGTGATCCACCTGCCTCGGCCTCCCAAAATACTGGGATTACAGGAATGAGCCACCGCACCTGGCCAGTACACTTGACCTATTTCAAGCTGACTCAATGAACACTAATCCAAGTTATATTGCTTATGGCATACCAAGAATTTAACTTGTATAAATTACCTCTGAATAGTCACATAAACACTATCACCATTCAGTATCCTATTTTTTACATTAATTTTTAACTGTGCACTTTAAGTTTGTGAGCCTATAAAAAATACATAGGAGATTTATGGATTAAGAGCATTGTATTTAGTGGTTAATCCTAGGTACCTCCCTGCCCACAAAGGAGTTGCTTATTAATACTGCAGGATCTTTTCCTCATGAATATATACTTCTATGAAATTTAAAATTTTCTGAATAGCCTAAGTATACTTGAAGATCTATTTTCTCCAAAACCCGTAAATTTCCAGTCAGCTTTTGAGGTGTCAGATGTCACACAGATTTTTAGATGGTCTTTCTTGAATACTGATAGAAATGTCCTCAAGATAGAAATTATATTCTTGAACCATTTTATATTGATAGGTGGGATGGGCTAACATTTTTATGATTGAATAAGCATAAATGAAAATTTTCAAATAGGCTTTTTTATTACTGTGCTTAGAACAAATTTTTAAATGTGACTTAAGTTGCTTAAATTCCAAGGCTGATTTCATTCACCAAACCAAGATTTTTAGTCACCCTTTAAGTTTCTCACTTTTCAAAACTCATATATCACCACTGACTTCTCTTTTTTTTTTTAGGCAGCTTTTATGACAGCAACTTGCTCCATGTAGTTTTGGCTTATTTAAAAACTATGCTAACTTTGGATTTTTTTATTACAGAACTTTTAACAATCTGTATTTTGTGATTGTGAACTCGTATTCGTTTTACTTTTCAAAACAGACTTAACATACCATTCCCTCACCTAGCAGTACTACCACAATAATGCTATCATGGTGCCAAGGAATTACAATTGTAATTCTTCTAACCTATGTTTAAAAAATAAAATGTGAATTTTATGAATTAAATAAAGATTTAGAAAATTAGCCTGCTTTAAAAGGGCAACTTTGGTTTCATTAATACTGTATATACTTTTACTGCTTATGTTAAGAGGGTAATCCTGGGAAAATAAAACACATGTAACTTTCAAAAAAGACAAGTGGTGTATGCCCTATTATTTAAATTGCTCATTAAAGGAAGTGGGTACAAGCATTAAGATGAATCATAGCTTCCATCAAGAGGCTCCACATATATAGGCTGCCCCGGGGCTCCCTCTCCTAAATCGTAGACATCATATGTAGTACCTTCTACCAATCTGATTTTTGAATTAGTAACTGACACAAAGCATTCTAGGACAGACGCCATACTATTATTATCTCCCACATTGACATTTATTAATAACATTTCTGGCAAAAACAAGTAACAAGTTCAAGAACTGATTTCACATCAACAGGTTTCATTTTGATCCATTAGCCAATTTGGAAAAAAGCCATATTGATCAAAGGGATTAAAATTAAAAAGCACCTTTTTCCTTGCTACATATAGATTCTTTAAACTAAAACTCCAAGCAGATATCAGATACAAAACCCAACTGCAGGATTGTTTTAATTGACTATGACATGGACTTGTTGCTTACATTTTTTAAAAGTCATCATTTATACAGTTATTTAAAAACCATATGCTCTATTGGGCAGAAAACTTAAAATACATTTGTGAGAATTATACTCCATAGTAAATACCTATGTACTTATACTGAATTCTTGTGTCACTGAGAACCTTAACCCTACTCTTAAGACATCTTGCAATAACCTGCAACTATCAATTTTTTGGAGACATTTTTGGTATTTCGGTCAAGTGCTGAAGGGATTTTACTCCAAAATCTAGGGCTAGAACAAACTTCCAACACTCCCATACCCAGGTAACACAATTATGAATATTCAGAAATCAATACCTCTTAGATCGTTTCAGAGCTATGCCTGATAAATGACATTTGAAAAATAATAATATAGAAATAATTAGCTGAATTTATACTCCTGAAGCCACTTCATCTTTAGGCTTTATATTTACAATGTTGTCCAGGAGGAATTAAAGAAAAAAGTTACACTAATTATTTGTCAAGCTCTATTCCAGATGTCTGCTTAAGACTTGCAGTTTATGCGAAGGTGAACCATTATCTTCTAAAATTACACCACACTACGTCTTGTAGAACTAATAGTAAAATACATCAACCCAAATCTTATGAAGGCAGCACATCTTTAGGAGTAACTAGTATATAAAAAGTATCAACATCAGTGGTTTGAATATAAAAATTTATTTTTAAGTCAAAGTATGCAACAAATAAACCTACAGAAAACAGATTTTCCCATCACAATCTGTTGCTTTACCAAATAATATTTTGAAAACACATTCCTTCAGTCATTATAAAGTTCTTAAAATACAAAAGAAATTAAATCTGTAAGAAAGTCTAGTAGACCAGATGCTGTTGTCAAGACTTGTATGTTGGTGTTTTTGCTTTCAGTACATCCCACGCCATCCACCTCCACTCATGCCACCTTGCCCGTAGTAACCTCCACTGCCTCCACCACCACGGCCTTAAGAAAAAGATATTAAGAATCACTCAGCAGGAGATATCTGTGCATAAATAAAAGTAATACCTGCACTTTAAAGTTTGCACTACATATGGGGACTAACACAAACTGAACTAGAGATACTTACCATAACCACCCAAGCCATCAGGAGTACCATATCCTCCACTGTAATTGTTTCCCATTCCCATTCTTCCAACTGATCCATAGCCTCCCTGATTATCTTTAAAAAAAAAAGAAAAAAGAAAAAAAATTGAGACTCATTGATAAGTAGCTAACCCTGCATATTTTAAAAACTTTACATACCCATTCCATCTCTTCCGTAGCCTCCCATTCCAGAACCTCCCATGCCAGAGCCGCCTCCAGGAGTAGAATTCAAGAAGAGTTCAATATATCGATGTTCTTTAGAAAAAAAGAGTAACAGGGGAGAAAGGAATGATGGATCAAATTCATCAATACAAGCTTTCTAAAAAAGATCAGTTAAGTAATATTAAACAAAGTATGCTTATCAATTACTAGTACAGCGATATATAAAGCCCACAAAAAGCCATTACAGAGGTCAAATGGTTTTAGATCCCAACAATTGCCAAGCGTTGCCTACACATCTTAGAGCCTCTTACTTTGTAAATTCACGTCTACTTACGCATGTTATTTTTATCTTTAGACATGGCAGCTACTGCATCTTCATGTGTCACAAACTCTACATCTGCTTCTCCTGTGGCTCTGCCATCAGCTCCAATATCAATATGAACTCGTATTGGATTTAGTGGTGAGAAGAACTAAATAAAAGAAAACACCTGTTACTTACTTTTCTATTGAGAATATTAAAAGTAAATTACCACATACTTTGATTTTTCCTCATCAATTAGGAAATTGCCCTGCCAGACTAATAACTTAAGTCAACTACAAAGGTTCTGTGAATATACAGAGTATACACTTAGGGATAATGTAAAGAATTTACTGCTTTTAAAATAAGGAGATAGGCGGGATACAGTGGCTCACGCCTGTAATCCCAGCTACTCAGAAGGCTGAGACAGAGAATCGCTTGAACCCGGGAGGAGCAGCCTGCAGTAAGCCAAGATCACGCCACTGCATTCCAGCCTTGGGGAGACAGAGTGGGACACTCCGTCTCAAAAAAATACACAGAGAGAGAGAGAGAAATGGGGATATCATGATTTGGAACCAGGGGGTTTGAATAAACCTACTATTTAAAACTATATGAAATTGTTCCCCAAAAGGTATCATTTGG